GGAGAGTGGGCTGCCAGACTGTGGAGGCCCCTGGGAGAGCAGGTAGCTATTAAACAACAGTGACTATTGATTGAGCCCTTCTGAGGACTGGGCTTGGCCACCACTGCACCTGCCCAACTAGTGAGACAGATTCAGTGCCGGCTATCCCATGGGTGGGGTGTAATAATTATAGTTAACTATTTATGAATTCAAATGCCAACAACCAATGTTTATTGAGCGCTTACTTAGTCCCAGGTATTGGGTGACTTAAGGTATGTAGTTGCATAATTTTGCAGATATTATGTCAAATTTTTTCCTTTGCTAAAAAGTGGGGGCAACCATTATGTGAAGCCCTATTTTTGTTTTGGTTGGTTTTGGGGGTTGAACCCAGGGGTGCTCTACTACTGAGCTATATCCCCAGTTCTTTTTATATTTTGAGACAAGTCTCACACTAAGCCACTGAGAGTCTCACTAAATTGCTGAGGCTGACCTGGAACTTGCAATTGTCCTGTCTCAACCTCCTCTTGCTGGGATTAGCTGGGATTATAGGCATGTGCCACCATGCTTAGCTATGTGAAGCTTTTAAAAAAATTATTTAAAAATAATTTGTTACTAAACTATATTTGGTGCAAGATTAGGATGCATGGAATCCTCCTGAACACGTGTTAATGTGGTGGTGACAATTATGCAGTAGATTACGGTAATACAATTTTATGTAATCCCAACAACCTCATGAGGTCACTGCCCTCACCCCCAATTTACACAAGAGGAAATGGAGGCTTAGGGAGGTGAAGCAACTTGGCTCAGGCAGCCCCAGTAGTTGCTGAGCTGGCTCAGGCCTGCCTTGTCACTTTGGGTCCTAGTTCAGGAGTTTAGGCCTCCTGCTGTGACTGGGGTTAATGGAGGGAGAAGGGCTTTATATGGGGAAGCCCCAGAACAGGGTTGCTGTTCCTCTGTTCCCATGAGTGAAGGTGGGTGAGGCCATCAAGAAATCAGGAGGCTCATGCCTATAATCTCATTGGCTTGGGAGGCTGAGGCAGGAGGATCATAAGTTCAAAGTCAACCTCAGCAATGTAGTGAGGCTCTAAGCAACTTAGGGAGACCCTGTCTCAAAATAAAAAGAAAATTAAAAAGGGCTGGGGATGTGGCTCAGTGGTTAAGATACCCTAGGTTCAATCCCTGGTACCAAAAAAAAAAAGTCAGGAAGCCTACCTCCACCTAGACTGGGCTAGAATGCCCAGTGTGGATGACAGGGCTCCAGGAACCCCTTACCCTCTGCCCTGTGTGGTTCTCGACCTGGTGGGCTGGTCCTCCCAGCCCTGTGCCAGCCAGCCAAGTGCACTCTGCGTAGCACCTTGTCACTTACAAGAACTAACAGAACAGTTCCCACACTGCAACAAATTCTTACATGCTTTATGTGGGAAAGGGATGTCTTTTAAGATTAAAAAAAACCAAAAACCCACTACCTTGCAACCTTCACTGATAGTTTCTGGAGTAGCAGGGTGGGCCACCTTCTGGTATATGGGGATTTTATTCAGGATGGGCTTCACAGTGCTGACTGGGTATGAATAAAGCTGAGGAATTTGGCCGCACAGAGCTGGGAATCGAGGATCTGGGCATAAATGTGCCAAACTCAGAATCTAGTGGGGATTAGAACTTCCCATTATTTCTAAAATTCCCTAGAATAGTACTCCTGTTTTATAGATGGGAAAAAATCAAATCTCCAAGAATGGCTGACTTGCCTGGCAATGGTGTCCCATCTTCCACCTAAGGAACACACACAAATGTGGGTGTCACACCATGATCTGGGGGAACCTGATTCTGTGCTCACCCAGGGCAGCCCAGAGATCAGGAGGCCCATGGTGTGATGGAGAGCACATGCTGTGCTGACCCTTCAGATCTGCCTCCCCCCCTCCCCCTCCCCCCCCACCCTCTGGGACCCAGAAGCAGAACCAAAAGGGCAAAGGGAGGAGCTGGACACAGTGCCACCGGATGGTGGGGGGTGTTATTTGTGCGGGTGCCAAAGTCCAAAGGAAAGAAAAGGGAATGAACAATCGATGGACTCCGCACAAAGTTCACCTGAGTTTCTGCCTGGGCAGAGATGTCACGGGTGCTTCAAATTCTCCTCTACCCCTTGCCAATGCCAGCTTGGCAGTGGCAGGAAGTGGGAGCCCAGGGGCCTGGCATTCCCAGTACCCAGCTCTGGCTGGACAGGGCTCCTGGTGACCTCACTTCCACCAAACCAGTTGGTCCTCTCAGGCTCCACCTCTACCTTAGTGCTGAACTGTGCCCTTTCTCTGTCAATGAGTATCCTCCGGTCTCCAGAGACACCCCTGCCGGGCTGCAGGTAGAGAGCTGGTGGATCTGAAGAGGCCCTGCTCCCACATTTGGCACCCTGGCGCCACCCCCTTGCTCTCCTGGGATAAAAGTGCAGCACAACAGCTCCAGTTTTGCCAGTGGCCCCTCCTGCAGCTGATCCAAACTGGGATCCTTCCGGGAAAGCCTAAACATAAGCAAAAGCGGCCAGCCTGCCAATAGTCCCAGAACCGGAGTTAGCAGTGACAATTGGGGGAGACCACTGCTCACGGTGAGCTCCCAGCTCCAGGGCTGGGCCTGGCAGAGTGCCTGCTCCCTCCCCCAGCCATCTTTCCCCTCCCCCTCCAAGGTCCTCCCTCCTGCTCCCTGAAGAGCTAGCGCTTACTCCTCACATTCCTAAGAATCATAAATCCTCCTGGGTGGCAGAGCCACCCCTCTCAAGACGCCTTGGCGCCTCCTCCCTATCCCCACCCCCATACATTGCCCCTAAGCGGTTGGGGCTTTCTCTTTCTTAGAAGTCACTCTGGACTTTGGGAAGACTAAGTCCAGCCCGACGAAGTTATAATAAACACAACAGGGGGCTGAGTGGCAGCGCGCAGGTGTGGGAGAGCCTCCTGGGGCCCTTCCTACACCGGGGGCTCAGCACTGAAAGGGGATTGTTATTCCTCCAGCTTTTTGAGTGGGACGTACTCGCCTTCACCCTACCTTCAGTTACCACCCACAGGGGCCGTAGACAAAGTTGGCACCTCTGGGGCAGAGGGGCCTTCCTTCCGCTCCGCTGCGGGCTGGGGTGGCCCATAGGAGGGCCCCAGGAAGGAGCAGGTTTGGGTTCCGAGGGACAGGAGCCTTGGAAAAAGGCACTGAGCTCCGTTGCGCCGCCCTTCTAAATGGGCAAGGGGGCAAAGAAAGGTGCAGGCGGCAAAAGCGCTCAGACTTCCAGGCCAGTCTGGGCAGGGGGATGGAGTCACCAGAGCAGCCCCAAGCCTGCCCAGGACCTCAGGGGGCGCCGGGTCGGCGGGCGGAAGCAGTTTCCCTCTCGCCGCTAGAGCTTTAGGAGGACTGGACGTCCGGGGTGCGTAGATCTCTTCCCCCGCCTGGACTTACCCGCTCCGGCTGGCTCTTGTCGGCCTCACGCGGTTCATTTTCGGCGCCAGTTCCCTGCCCCTCGGTGGCGGCCGGCGATTCGGCCTGTCCTGGCCCTTCCTGGGCGCGCAGCAGCTCCTCCCCGACCTGGACGCCTAGTTTTTTCAGCTGCTCGTCAGCCTCGGGGTCCACCACCAGCAGGCGCACCGCGTTGAGCGCGGCGCGGATCCGGCTCACCACCTGCTGGTGGGTTTCCTTCTCGACATTCTCGCCGTTCACCTCCACCAGCCGGTCCCCAGCCAACAGCCCCGCTTTCTCAGCGGGCGAGCCGGGTTCCACCAGCCGGATAAACTGGCCCACCTTGCCCTTCTCCCCGTGCAGGTGGAAGCCGTAGCCGTTCGGACCCTTCTCCAGGCAGCAGAGCCGGGGCAGGGGCGCCCCGGCTGCCGCGTCCGCGCTCATCTCGCTCGGCGACTGCTCAGTAGCGAGAAGTGGGGTCCCGTCGGGGGCGGGAGACGCGACCGCCCAGCCTTTCTCTGCGCCCTAAGAACTGGGAGGCGAGAGGGAGAGCAGCAGGGAATCCCTGCTCAGCCGGACGGGCGGAGAGCGCAGGTGTCCCAGGGACGGAGACCGCGAACTACGAGGAACCGACGGAGGAAGGCGGACCAATCCCCGCCCGCGCGGCGTCTGAGCGTTCCAGAACCCGTCCAGCCCCTTGTCCTGGGGGCGGGGTCGCGCCGAGGGTGTGGGTTCCAGTAGGCCAATCAGGGGCCACGATCAGGGGCGCTCGGGCCGGGTGAACGACGCCGGCCAATGGGAAGGAGCATGGGCGGGGTCTGTGCTCGGTTCGGCGCCCCGCGGCGGGCGAAGAAAGAGGGCTCAGGAAGTGGAAGTGTTTGTTACCAAGTGCTGGAGTGGGGCGGGGCCCCTGTCCCCAGAGAGTGCCAGGTACCGAGAGGCCGAAGACTGCTGCTGGTTTCCCCTTTTGGCGTGGAATGAGGAGAGCTAGCCCCCTCTTTAAGCGCCCTCGTGTTGTAATGGCCTTTAGCCAAGCCTGTCTGTCGTAGCGCTGGGACAGAGGGGAGCGACAGTTGCCGGGGAAACCGCCCTCCCCCCGCCCTGCACTGGGGCAGCGAGGACCGGCCTTCGTAAGAACTGGACACAACAGAGTTGTTTAAATAACAGTGTCTTAAGACTTACGTCTAGGGATGAGGCTCCGACACCCGCAGAAGCGACAAAACTCAGTAAAGAGTCTGAGGCTTCAAGCAGTCTGAACAAGACAAACCACCCAGGGCAATGTCGCACACTGGGTCAGCTTTTGGCCAGGGAATGGGGTGAAGACAGGCAGAATAGTCCAGGTAATCCGTCACAGGGTACACTCCACAGGGAAAGGAGCCCTGGCCTTTTTTCAACAGAGAAAGAAAAATGACTAGGACTGTAAAATAAGCCTTCCAGCTCCCTCTTGCCAGATGAGAGGCTGGTCACAGAGGCCAGGGTTAATTTACTCTGTGAGAACAATGAATGGTGATTTTGGTAAGGACATTTCCCCCAAAACGCGATAACAATCTCTTCAACGTGGTCCCTCCTCCCATGCGCACCTCAAACCAACAGTGGACAAGGTGTACTTTCCAAAATACTGCAGTTTAATTATGAAAAACACAAATGCTAGAGGCCCAGAGCTGTCTACATGATTGACTCTCCTGCTGCAACCTGCCAAGGGCCAGAGAAGAGACCTGGGAGGTCAGGCTCCTCCCTGATTCGCCTGGGAGAGGCCACTGAGAGCTTCCTTATCAATTCAAGTTGGAGCCACTGAGTGCTCAGAGATCAAGATTTCTGCCTTAAAAGCAAATGCAGCAGCCTCAGAAATGTCGAGCAAGTAGTACCTCTCCACCCCTCCCTGCCCTGCCTGCAGAGCTAAAGGAAAGGTGCTTACTCTAGGTCCTGACCTGCATATTTCCTGGACACAAGAACTCCTTGCTGCCCCTCTCCCCACCCCAGGTTTACCCACATGACCTTGTTTTGCACACACTGCATTGGTGCAAAGAAATGGGACCTTCCATTCGCTACCCTGACTCAGTAGGAGGGGAGATAAAGCAGTTTTGACCCTGGTGACTGACTATGAAGTTCAAAAAAAGGGCACATTGTTCAGGAAGGAAGGGGAGCTTGGGTTCAGGGAGCTAGACCTAAGGTTTCCTCAATTCTGCCTTCCACCTGCTCCAGGAGCCAGGGGCTTCTCTTTATCTGGTTCTTAACCCAATTGAGCTAAGTATTCCTTGAAAAAATAGCTGCAGGGCTGAACACCTGCCAAAAGATTGAGATGGGAAGACAAACTTTTCCTAGCTCTGACCTCAGGTGTCCAGGGGCAGAGATGGAAACCAATGAGTCAGGGATTCAGGGGGAGTGGCTCCTCTGGAATCTGAGGTCCAGAAAACAGGAACCAATGTTTCCAAGTGCTGCAATGTGCTTGTACGCTGGAGGAAAAACAGCACACCTCCAGGAGTGGGTTTAGGAAAACCAGAGGTAGCCACAGAAAAACCCTAGTCTCTTCTACGCCTGTTTGCAGCTGGGCGGGCCCCTCCTAATCTCCACAACTCTTATCTTCCCTGAGTCTTCCTTCCAGCTCCCAGCACTAGGATCCAACTTATTGGCTAAGACTGTTTCCTGGGGAGCTGGAGAAAATGAAAGCTGGAGTGAGGGTGGTGATGGGGACACTAACTACTTATCCTCACATCCCAGAAGTGCACTGGTATCCCCTGTGCTGAGCTGGAGCAGCACTACCATGTCATTGCTAGGAGGATGGCCTAGCCTCTTAGGTCCTAATCCTAAATCCAAAAAGGCAAAAGGGCCACCAGGTCCCTCTCTCTTGGTTTTCTGGAAACCCTGGTATCTTTTTTTCTTTTTTAGCATGAAATTTTGTATCATTAAGATAAAATATAAGCGGTTTACCCTCCTCCAGGACGCAGGGAAGCTATAGGAGTGCTGCGGCCTTATGGGAAGGGGCAGTGCACTGGGCCCCCCCAACTCCCTCCCCATTGACTCAGCCGCCCAGAATACACCAGTCAAGGGGAGATGGCTGCAGCTCCAAGGACTTCTGGGGCCTCCTCTCAGCTTGCGGGATTCACACAAAGGAGCAGCAGCTGGAACGCTTCTTCTGAGACTCCACGTAGTCTCGGATCTGGAAGCTGGGCCCATCAGCCTGCTGCCCTGCACGGTACTTCAGCTCCCTAGAAGAGGAAGAGGAAGAGGAAGAGGCGAGGGGCTGGCTGAGCTGAGGGTGCAAAGTTGAGCTTTTCCCCACCCCGTTCTCCTGGCCAGGAACAAATGGAGCTCAGAATGGAAGTGGGCCCAGGGCCTGGGCCAGGGGCTAGGCACTGCTGGGTTCCCAGATGCCACCCTGCCCTGCCCAGTTCCCTTCCCTGCTCAGCTCTCACTTGGCAATGGCCAGAAAGGCTAACTCCACGTTCATGCCTGTCTTGGCGCTGGTCTCCAAGAAGGGAACTCCGTACTCCTGCCAGGGAGAAAGTGTCCTCAGGGCAGCCTCTGGCTGCCCCCACTGTTCCCCTGCCCCACTGGCAGTCACTTACCCTGGCCAGTGTCTCTCCGTCCTCCGAGCGTATCACTCTTTCACTGCTCACATCCGCCTGTCAAGCCCATGTGGGTCACTCTGAGGAAGGAAGCCTTGACCCCAGCTGGCCCTTATTTTGCCCCAGGAGCAGGCACTGCCCGCCCTCTGCTGGTGACCAGAGGGACTGTGGGCAGGTGTGATTGGCCTGGGGCCAGGGTTTCTGCCTTGTGAAAGAGTACACCCTTCTCCCAGCCCTGGGATCCCAGCCCTGGGATCCCACCCCTGGGATCCCAGCCCTGGGATCCCAGCCCTGGGATCCCACCCCTGGGATCCCAGCCCTGGGATCCCAGCCCTGGGATCCCACCCCTGGGATCCCAGCCCTGGGATC